AAACACTGAGGAGGTGCTTTTGTTTGTGTAAGAAACGCAGAACAGATGCGACATTTAACCTGCATAAAATGAAAGAAATAACTTACACTGCAGGTCACATTGCTGTTTTTCCTGTCCTGATAGATTACACTGAAACAAAGTTACCATATTTGCAGTTAAAAGATCAAAATGATCCCACACAGCAGAAACATTTCTTTCTTTCGGGCTGCATTTTGTTATGGAGAGATGTGTAATTTTTTAATCTTTGCGAGAGTAATTTTGTGTTTTTAGGTGGCGACTCTTCCGTTGGCAGGTGCGGATGCGGAACCTTTTAAACAGTTTGCAGTTACAGCAGCTGTATCGATCACGTGACTTTCTCTTAAAGCGACGCACGCACCGATACAGGCGTCGCTGGGTGAGCTTGATACAAGCGTCGGTGTGTCAGTGTTGCTGCCGCTTAGCGGTCACCTGTGGTCAATTCAGGACCCGCTGTGATAGGTCAGGATTGGTGTTACTGGATTATCGATCCATCAACTCCCAGATTGATGTTATTGATTACTGATGTGGTTCTTATGATAAGGACTCTGGGCATTCCTGGTGCATTCCTGAAGTCCCTCATGTCTCCTGACGCTCTTCCTTGACCTCGATGAAAACGTCACTGAGGTCAAGGAAAGGTGGGAAGGAGAACTGCTGAGGACTCAGGAAAAGGGAAGAGGCGTGCACTTAGAACTGGAACAACCTTACATTGGTGTCTCTTTAACAGGAAGTCTGTTGAAACTACAATGTGCAGAAGACGAACTACAAAAGGCTGGTCTAGCTTCACCACAGTGTTCTTGTTTTATGGAGGTCATAGAAACGATAACAGTCTGTAAAACATATCTTTCAGTCCAAAGGCTGGTGTTTTAAAGGAGGAGGAACATTTACTGCAATACTACTGAAATGATGATATTACTAAAACTTTGGCTGTGTCCTAAAACTCTTCATCAGTGTCACGCTGAGCGTTCAGAGGCGAGCCCACTTATTGGTCC